TCCCTGCCATGTTCTGATGAGTCCATCCTACTCCACAACTTTGGGCTTCAGTTCTCTCCTGATCCGGTTTATAAACTCAGCCACACTCCATTTCCTTATTGTATGAAACGGAAACAACAACAACATGTCCCTCTCCATTGGTCCCGTCACCAACAGGTCCACAGCATTTGTTGTGTTCCAGTTCTGTGCTACAGGATGGGGATACAGGGCTCTGCAGGAAAGGAAGGTGAAGAGCCTGATGGGAGAGATGGGCAATTAGACAAGCTATACCAAGCAGGTTTGATAAAGGCTGCAGTGGGGAGATAGAGGGTCCAGAGACATCTCAGAGCATCCGCAGAGGTGCCCCAGGTGAAGTGAGCTCTCAGCCACGACCTACATTACGAGCAGGAATGTGTTCAGAAAAAACAAGTAGAAACCTGTGAAGACGGAAAGCAAGACCATCATGGGAACCAGAGTACAGCCAGGACCTGGGAAGGATTTCGACAAAGCCTGTGGGAGAAGAACGGGGAAATAAAACGGTGGATCAAGGACTGAAGTCCCAGAGCCTTCACAGCAGTGTGGGAGCCTGGACAGGGTCAAGGGGAGGAGGGCCATGTGATGAGGGAAGCACGGCATCCCATTTGATTCTTACAAGCATCCGTTAGGTCACTGCGTAGAGAATGGATTCAAGTGGCACCTTGGTGAAGGAAGGAGAGCCACTTGGAAATCCAGACAATACACAACACTGGCCTCACACTCTGTGTCTTTGTTTCTCTTGAAGGCAGAATTCAAGGTTCAGAACTGGCTGCAGGTCATGAATTGAGATGTAAGTCCTGCATCTCAGAGTAAGGGAACGATAAGAACAGAGAGACAAAAGAGCCAAGTTGCTGTAATGAGTTAGTGTCCTACTAGGTACTGTCTAAGGAACCATCCAGAACAGTGCTTATCAAAGTGCGGTGTCTGGGCCAACAGCCTGAGTATCACCTGGGAGCTCATTTAAAAAAGCAGGAACTAGCTGGACATGGTGGTACATGCCTGTAGTCCCAGCACTTGGGAGGCAGAGGCAGGCAGATCTCTGTGAGTTCAAGGCCAGGCTGGTCTACATAGTGAGTTCCAGGGCAGCTGGGGCTATAGGGAGACCCTGCTTCAAAAAGACAAAAAAAAAAAAGCAGGAGCTTGAGTTCCGGCTCAGACCCTCTGAGTGAGTGAGACCCTCTGAGTGAGTGAGACCCTCTGAGCCAAGCCTCAGCAATAGGTTCTCAACAGCTCTTGAGGTGCTGAGGTTTTAATTCAGTGCTCTGGATTGGAGGATAGAGATGTAAAGCCAGTCTGTGCTGGCTCCTTTCTCTTGATGACAAACAGGTGTCTCCTGTACTTTGGGTCTCAGTAGAGAAAGGGAGTAAGTTTGTCACTTTGGGGAATGCAGAGGGGGCAGAAAGAGAGCAGCTCTGCAGTAGATAGAGCTGTCCAGCTCTGGGGTGCTGAAACCAGACAGAGGGAGCTGTCCTGCACACACCCAGACTACTTACCCACGGTGACTGAGTGTGGCTGTGCACATGGAGAGAACTTGAGGATACATGAGACATTTCAAGGCAAAATCACTGGATACAAGGAGATAAAAGGAGAGAATTTGAAATACAGTTCTTAATTTATTTGGGAACCCTAACAGATGGTGGTAACAGGGCCAAGTGCCAGTTTGGGAGGGGTGTGCATTTGAAATATATATATGACATCACCTAGGGCTTAGTAAACATCCACCTTCACTACTATTACTAAGGTACTTGATGGAAAATTGATTCCAAGAGAACTCTTGTTTTTCAAAAAATTTCTTGAACTTTGTAGTGCAAACTTGTGGATCAGGCTAGTTCTTGACCAAAGAGCTTTATTATCTTAAATATTTTATTTTTATTATTTTTATATTTATATTTTATTTTATGCATATGAGTGTATTGACTGCATGCATGTAAGTGCACCCATGTTGTGCAATGCATGTGGAGGTCAGAAGAGGGCGTCAGATTCCCTGGAACTGGAGTTAAGGACAGTTGTTAGCTGCCACGTGGATGTTGGGAACTGAACCCAGGTCCACTGCAAGAGCAGCCAATGCTCTCAGTTGCTGAATCATCTCTCCAACCCCAGATCTTCATCAGTTTAAATAATCTATTCATTTAATGGTAGGAACTCAGTTCTTACAGCACTTACAGCACACAAGAACAGACAAATTGAGGCGGTTCCTTCTGAATGAAACACTGGGTCTTCATCAAATCCTCTGCCTTCTTTGGAATTTCAGTTATATCTGGTTTTGCTGATGCTTCAAAGGAGTGAACACCCCCAAAGGACTACATGCCTTTTATCTCCACGTTAGTTTCTTGATGGGCGGGACATTTTTATTTAGAACCTGATGCAGTCTCTTCTAAGGATCCAGTGGGATCACCTCTTACCAGACAGAAACAAACTCAGAACATCCTTACAGACATGTGGCCTGATTGATCCAGTCTCTCAGCTGCTCAGTGTGAGGTCCTGTGATCAGATGAGCCCAGCCTCAAAGTGTTATCATAACTCCGAAAAGAGCCCTGTATACATGCTGATGTCTTCAGCACTGAATATTTAAGTCCAGACCATCTTCTGCCAGCTTTTAAAGATGTATGCGTTCCAGTGTTGCCCTCTTCCCTTTCATATTAGGGTCTTGCTTAGTCATGCACTTCATAATAGATAACACTTTCTTCCACGTTGTGGTCTCAAGTGCTTGATATATGAATGACTATATGTCTGACTATTAATTATTTTCCTTATAGAAATTCAGAACTCGCATGGAACAGTGTGGGCATCTGCAGAGAGAATTCTGTTATGGGAGAGGAGGGCACATTCAGAGAGCCCCCAGGGACCCCACAAGACACCAGTGTCTTGAGAAGTCTTTAGTAATGACACAGAATTATTTTACTAATCAAGGGGCCATTTCCATTCATAATTACATTAAACTTACTGTGTGATAGTGACTATATAGAAATCTTCGATAAGATTTTTGGTTGATAAATATATTTGACTTTTCTTACTTTGCTTCTCACTGGAAGCATTATTCCTTTAATTTCATACATGAGTGCCACATTAGTATCATTTCCACCCGTCCTTCCCCTTCAACTACTTCCACATCCTCCTCCACTGCATCTCAATTTCTTATCCTCTTCTTTGATGATTATTAGTGAATAAACATATATACATATAAAAATGTCCATTCGGTGTTCTTTATGTGTTTAGGGCTGACCACTTGGGATTGGATAGCCTATCAGGGGAGAGAAAACTGATTCTCCCTTCCTCAGCATCTATTGATTGATGGCCTGTAATTCTAGAGGTGGGAAAGTGTGAAAGCTCCCCATCCACAGTGACATATCAGCTATTGATTGATTAGTTTCCGAGTAACAGTTCTCTAGATTAGAGCCAAGTTGAGGGACGGGTCCGTAGACCAATAGCTGGATCTTTTTCCAGAGGAAATGCAAGAGGCTGTCTACCTTATCCATCAGACAAGGCACCTCTTCCTAGGAGAATTTGTTGCTAATTTGCTTTGCTTTCCATCCTATGGATGTGGGTCTAGTGTAACATTTTAATCTTTGAATCTACCCCAGAGGTGACTGATCATTTTTATCAGAAGATTTAGGGTGGGGTGGTGGTACATGCCTACCATCTTGAAACTCTTGAGACAGAGGCAGGAGAATGGAGACTTTGAAACCAACTTGGGGTTAGCATAACTGTATCTAAAAAAAAAAAAAACAACAAAAAATTGAAAGGAAGAAATGAAGTCAGAGGACAAGGGAGGTCAGAAAGACAATTATCCCTATATAATCTCCAGAATTTTCCTATAAATAATCTCTTCACCATGGTGCTCATCCCTTATTACTTATTCAGAATAGACATATGTCTTCTTGGATATATTTTCTCAAAATATTATCTACTTGAATAAAATCAGCAGTTAAGCCATATGGCAGATCCTACTGCTATATAATGTTTTCATTTCAAAATTGGGCGTACCTATAGTTATAAATGAATCAACTCTTAGCATATTTTCTGACTATAGCACATAGGTCCACGTGTGTGTGTCTCAAAACAGAGAATTCTGGAATGATAAGACAGGCAAGATTAGTCTTACCAGGAATTGTGGGAGGGAAGGGAAGTTTCTTCATATGTTAAATTTAATCCTCAGTGTCCTAATCTACTTCCTCTCACACTCTGCCGCCCTCAGTGAGAGTCCACCCCACGAGAAACCTCCACTTTCACATGTCACCTTTTCTAGAATGTTCATTAAGACTCACAGACTGCTGAAATACTGGTAGTTTACCACAAGGCACTTGTGTTCCTTCTGCAGGTGTGCATTAAGTGGGGTTTGTGAGTACACTAGAGAGTGTTTCTGGTGCCCTTCATTAACTGACCACTATCCATGGGACCACATTGTCCCTGAATCATTCTAACATATCAGGAAGTGTGGCTGATGTGTCCTGCTGAGATGTCTTGGGGAAAGTTCAATACCTTGCACATTCCTTGCCCTCTTTGAGGGATGCCTGTTGATTTCTCCCTTCATCATCTGTTAGAAGATGGTCACCACTGGTTTTGAACAGTCCCTACCCAATAGAAACTCTCATCCTTGGTTAAGTACCATTTGAGGAACAAACATATTTCTCCCCTTTACATATTGGCTATGATTCTGTTTTGTATGGATTGAACCCCTGACGATCATAAGCAGCACAGATCAAAAGCAGACGGTCACATGCTCTTGGGTTGGTCAAAGTCCCACACGGTTATGAAGAGGCCAGTTAGCCGATCACAAAACAGCCCTACTAAAGTGGGTGTGTGGAAGAAAAATGGCCAGCACGGGACTTCCTCCCTCCTTTGTGCCGCCTAAAAACTGTTTTGTTTTTTTATTTATGTAAAACATTCTCTTTGGTTGAAGATGTCTAGAAATCACTGTTTTATAAAGTCACAACTTAAATCAGCTGTGGTCCTGTTGGAATGACAGGTGATGTTTCTCATTTCAGTTCCTCCAAAATTTGTGGTTCAGCCTCAGGACCAGGATGGGATTTATGGCAAGGCAGTGATTCTAAACTGTTCGGCTGAGGGTTACCCTGTGCCCACTATCGTGTGGAAGTTCTCAAAAGGTATGAAGTTACTTGGATTATTTGTTGTGTGTTAAATATACATTGTGTCCTTAAGAATTCTGGTCCACTCAGAGATGTTTCTTAAGTAGCTGCATCATTTGACCTCAGCCTTTCCCACCCTTCTTTTTTATTTTATTTTTTTAAGATGCATCTCTTTTTTAAATCTATTTTTAAAATTATTTATTTAATAACCACATACTTAGAAGAAGCATATCATTACAACACAATTGACATATTCAATAACGGTTTCCTGAGGTAGGATGCATCATTTTCAAAATTGGCTGTAAATTTTTAGGTTTACAGTTGAATTAATATAATTA